AAAAACTAACAGAATCAGTGAGCTCAGAGACACTCACTGATATTCTATGAAAAGTCTTCAAAGTGAAAGAGATATCTGTGTTAGATAATTCTCTGAATTCTGCAAATATCAAGAGAAAGCAGGCTCTCAAATGAGATATGAGTAAGAATGATGAAGCAGACACTTATCTCAATGCCTTGAGACTCAAAATGTTAATGTATAAGAGACACTTGAGTAAGAATCAAGAGATGACTGCAAAAGTGTTAGCAGACACAGAAGCTTCTATATAATATATTAATAATCATATAATCTGAAGACTGAAAGAGGTCTGCTGAGTGAAGAATTCTCAATATATAAGATTATCTGATAATTAATATTTGATATTATCTATAAGAGTAAGAGTTTCCTTGCACTTCAGAGAATGATCTTGCTATATTTGAGTGTGAGAGCTGCAGAATGTGAAATATAATCTTATTCTCAGACTTAATTAATTTCAAAGATTCAATCTGCAGATTCAATGACATACATATTATATACAGTTGACTGATAGAAAGAAAACAGTTCATACAATTCTATCAACTGATATGAGAAGAACATTTCACATCTCTGATATAGAAGAATTAAATCTGCTTACATATCAATAAGTAAAGAGAACAATTCACAAGACCTTATCTGAAAGCATTCTGTATGTTATACAGGACTCAGAAGCAGAGGAAATCAAGATAAAGAATATACAGAAGAACAAGTATATAAAGAAGCTTCTGAAGAAGCATGAGAAGGTCTTTTAAACAGATATTTCATCAGAATTGTCATCAGAATAAAAATTTGTACATGAGATTGACATGAGAGATGCAAAACTAGTCAATCAGAATGCATACTCTCTGTCACAAATATATCTCAAAGAACAGAAGTATCAGATCACAGATCTTCTAGAATATAATCTCATACAACTCTTATCAAGCATGTGAGACTTTTCAGTTCTATTTATGAAAAAGGCAGATAAGGAGTGATAGATATATATTAATTATCAAGCACTCAATAAGCTTACAATCAAGAATGAATATTTATTATCACAGATTCAACAATAGTTGAATACAGTTGAAAACACTTAATATCTATTAAAGATTGATCTTCTCTCAGAATACTGACAGATTCATATAGACAAACTGTTAGTCTCATAAACTATGTTTAATATACAATGAGAGAAGTTTAAATTCCTGATAATATTATTCAGTCTGATAAATACACTCATCATCTTTCAAACAATGATGAATACAATTCTTCATAAACAGAATGAAATCTCATATCTCATATATCTTAATAATATTCTAGTCTTTTCAAACTCATATAATGAATATCTGAAGCATCTTAATAAAGTGCTTATAACTCTGACAGAGTATAAGCTCTACATTAAATTAACAAAGTGTGTGTTTGAAATGAAAGAGTTGAAGTTTATAAAACATGTAGTGAGTGATGACTGTATACATCTCATTTCAGAGAAATTGAATGTTATAGCAAATTAATCACAGCTGAGAAATATACATCATGTACAATAGTTTCTTAAGTTGATCTCATATTATTACAGATTCATCAAGGATTTCATATGAATATCTGTATCACTCTTAGATCTCTGAAGAGAAATAGATACAAATCTGTAAAAGAAGAAGTTTTATTCAATTATCTGAAATACTGTATATAAAGAGACTTTTCTCATACTGAGAGAATATGTAATAATATTCTCAGTGCTTATTCAATCAGATTATGATAAATCTTTCTATATTAAGACAGACATATTTAAATGAGTTATCAGAGATACTCTTCTACAGATGAGTAAGAACAGCAAGCTACACTCAGTGATGTACAATGATAGAAAACTATCAGATATCAAGCTCAATTATTCAGTGTATGAAAAGAAATTGCTAGTGATTAAGCACACACTGACATTATGAGATAGATATATTGATAACAGGCATATAATAACAGTGATCATAGATCATAAAAGTCTCATCTATCTATAATTAATAATAAAACCTTTCAAACACTTAGCACATTGAATCTCAGAGTTTTAAGCATATAATCTTCATATTAAATACTGAAAGAGATCAGACACTGTGATATCTGATATAATCAGTCACAGACTTGATTTCATGAGTGAGAATTCTGCAAATCAGATATAAGAAAAGTTCATATTAAATATACTAAGAAGATGTAAGAAATCAGAATAAGTGAATATCATAATCTCTCACTTGAAGAATGACAAGATATCAGATAATAAGTATCTTATAAGAGTAGTAGAAGAGATGCTTCTGAACTTCAAGCTGAGAAAATTAAAAAACAATGTTATGCTTTATTATGATCTAGAATATGCAGAAGCTTTCTATCTAGAATCTTCATTTAGATATGACTTAATGACTTACATGCACAAGAAATTCAGTCACTTAGAAAGTTCTAAACTCATGAGTATACTCAAATCAAGAGTATACTGACCAAGCATGACTGAGAACATTCAGACATACACTCATAAGTGCCTGAATTATCAGATTGTGAAAGAATCTAAGAAAGAGTTAGAATATGAGAAAGTGTAATATCAGATAAAGTGTACAATACAACTGTTCAAACAATGAGAGATGAATCTTATAGACATATTACTGTAAATGTCAAATGAAAATTGATAAATAATCACTGCTATTGATTACACTACTGACTGATCAGTTGTGAAAGCAGTTTCAGAGATAATAGAGAAGATGATAGTAAAGTTTCTATATAATGAGATCTATGTCAACTATGAAATACCATGCAAGACTCTAACTGATAACAGTGTGAATCTTATAGAAGAAGCAGTGAGACATTTCATGAGTCAGTTACAGACAAGACATCATAGAACAATATCATATCATTCACAGATAAACAGGAAGATGAAATGCTTGAATGAAATCTTGAGCAACATACTGATAAAATATCTAGTAGACAAGTCTATAAGACTATGAAATGAATATCTCAGACAGATGCTATTGACCACATGAATTCAACAGCATGCAGTCTTCAAGCATTCATCATTCTACCTGTTGTATGAATTGCATCCGCACATCCCAGAGAATGCTTTGAAAAAGATAGAGAAGAAAACAGTAGTTACAAATACAACAGTCACAGACACAACAGTTACAGACACAGAATCAAGATTGAAAGAGATCAGCCATATATGTGTAAAAGCTAACAAGTTACTTCTGAACTGAGTAATTCAATTGAAAGAAATACAAGACTCACTAGTTAAGAAATCAAGTCTTAAGATAAGAATATAAGTTCTTGTATATAATGAGAGTTCTGAGAAGTTTTAATCTAGATGATTTAAGTTATATAAAATACTTAAATCATATTCTCTGAGAACATACACATTGAAAGAATCAGAGGAACAGATCTTATATAACTTAATAAATAATTCATAACTTATAAAAGTAAAGATGTAAGACTCAAGCAGATTATAATCATCTACAGCACTATTATCAGTATTGAAAAAGAAGAAACTTAGAATTGAAAAGTCTTACAAAGTAAGAGAAATCATAGACACTTACAAATCAGATAATCTTATTTATTTCAATCTCTTCATAATTATAAGAAAAGAATGAGAAGTAATGAAGAAATCAGATGAACATCACACTTCAATAAGTGATAAGACTGTAGTCAGTCATATAATAACACACTGCAGATAGTAGATACAACACAGTAAAGAGCAGTTTTAAAGTGACAGACTTGTACATGAGTCAGATCACAGAAGAAAAAGAAATTCAGAGTTGAATTCAACTGTTTACATCAGTTCAATTACAGAGATAATAGAGAATAAAGCATCTGAAACATTCACAGATATGTGAGACTAAGTTATCTCAATCTCTGAGAACACTCAGAGATTGAGTGAGATCAGTTTTGAGAGATTATTCACTGTAGTAGTCTGAGTAGGTGAAGAGAGACAGTATAATGCATGAGACAGAATCACAAAAGATGAAAGCTGCTGAATCTAGTCATCAAACACTGTATTATATAGAGATTATGTAAGAGTAGTGACTAGTAGATAAAGAAAAAGTGTAAGAAAAGAAAAGAGATAATGAATTGATCATCAACTGTAAAAGTCAGTTATAAAAGACAAATGTTATTATATACATCTTATTCATTTTCATACATCATATATTAATCTATTTTCAATGCCACATCACCTGAAAAACACTAAAAACAAAAGAAATCTTAAAACTCAAGATTCACAAGAGATTTGAGAGCTGTAAGCCACTCTTACAATAACACTGTACATATCTCTGATTTCTCTATCACTCTGTGTACAACATTAATATCATTTATCACAAGATTAACTGAAATATCAATATAGAAATGCATATATGTACACATAGAAAAATTGAAGAAGAGTACAGAACTTGCAGAACTAGAAGTCAGAGCAGAAAGAATAGAGATGAAAGAAATGAAAGAAGAAGAAGATACAGAATCAGATGAATAACAGCAGAAGTCACTCAGAGTTAAATACTTATAATCTGATATGCACACAACCTTCTTCACAGAGAAGAAAGAGAAAGTGATAGAAGAAGCTTAAGAGCAGAAGAGAATAGTCTTAGCAGTGTTATTATCTTTGATTAAAATGATCTCTAATGCTGAAGCAACTAAGAACTATTATTAGTATATAAAATTACAAAAGCAGGGATAACAATTACTGAACAAACACTCACTGATCTTAGAATTGTACACACAGTTACAACACATATGAGACTTCTCAGAAAGAGAGAGAGAGACATAGAAGAATACAGAAAGTAGAATGCAGTGTGTGAATAACTCATTCTTATAATAATATCTCAGACAAGGTGTACAAGTCTCACACTCACAGGTGTAAAAGAGTACAATATTCACATTTTTATTTTCAAAAATACAGATATTCTTCACCTGCATCACAAAGTCAGATAATAAATATCAAAGAATAGACTGATACAGATTAATCATTCTGAAGATATTCATTAGAGTGAATATACTCATAATATTGAATTTAACAGTTGTGAAAAGTTTCTTAGTATCTGTGAATATTATAACTTTATGCACAGTAAAACTCATAATAATTTTCTTTAAGAATAGAAAAATCAGTGTTAGAAAGAAAAGATGAAAAGAAAAAGACTTATAATTTTAATACTGTTGAGAAGAAGAGTGATTCTCTGATATAAATGAATAATTATCTTATCATGAATATTTAAAATAAATATAATAATCAGTGTCTGTGACTGAGCTTCAGATAGTCATATTATACACAGTCTTTATACAATAAATCATTCTAGAAGTCAGTAAGAAAGACAGAAGTGTATATACTAGTAAACATGATTTATTAAGTCTATACAACATCTTCTTGAAATAGAAAGAGCTGATAATAAAAGCAGAGACAGTAAAATCAGAGGGAGCAGAAGTAGCAAGAGTGAGAGTCATGAAAACAGAGATAGCAGAAGCGGGAGAATCAGACACAGAAGCAGATGTAGAAGATTGAGAAGCAGTAGCAGAAGAGGTAGAGAGAAATGTAAGAGACTCAGTCATATATAATATAGACAATTTCTTCATTATCATGTTCTTTAAGTTCTTGATCAATGATTCAATATTGAGTTTACTATTATTAGCAGACACAGATCTGTCAACACATGAAGATTCTATATAAATAAAAACAAATATCAGCATCTGCATTTATGTAAAATTGTGTTAGAAAACATGATCAGAAGCTGCTGAGAAGAAAAACAGTCAAAAGTGTATAAGAAGATGAAGAAGATATATTATTCATAATGATACATTCTGACAATTGTTAGAAGATAAATAAGTTCAGTCATATTTCTTAACACATTATACTTACTGCTAATAAACTGCTCAGTATGAGCACTATGATGATACTTATTATGAGAATGAGAGATTATCATCAGAAACATGTACAATGTGATAGATAAATAAATAGAAGATATTGAACAGAAGAAGAGATAGTAATCTTGAATGAGATGATGATGATATTCAATGATAATGATGATGAAGAAGATGATTAAAGAATGAGAAAAGTTAGTGAATGAGTGATATAATATAGTGAAAGTTTCTTTGTGAGAGTGTATATGAGATGCTAGCTGAATCAGGAATAGATCACAAGATCGCGAACACTAGCAGCACACTAATCCACATGAGGCTAGGGCGGATGTCATGATCACGTGAGCATGACCAAATCTGATGAGAGAGGATGTGATTTGGAAGAATATATGATCATTGAATAATAACGCGGCCGCTTCTGAACTTACTTATGAGTGTAAAGAGGCCATAGCGGCCACTAATTAATTTAGTGTACAATATATAAGAAGCCGGCGTACGCCTGTAATCATACGCTGGCTCAAGTAACCTTTGAATCACATATTTATTGTGATTGTAATATAAACTCAGAGATATATGAATTATTAATTCTTTATTTCTTTCTTATCTTTATCTTTCACAGATACATTTGTCAGAAGAAGAGTCAACTTTAAGAAGATATCTTCTCAGTTTCTTTTCTTCTTTGACTTCTTATAATTACTAGTATAGTGATTATTAGCTCTGCAGTTAGAATAGAGATCTTTATCAAGTCTTTTTTAATATCTCTTTACAGTGAGTAAAGAATTGAAATATATGACATTTTTCTTTACTTTCTCTACACTGAAGCTGTTACAGTGCTGTTTAGATTCTATTATTAATTACTTAGAAGAGATCTTATTAATCTTTTTCTCAGAGCATTAATTATTTAAATAGATTTGAAAAGCTAGATTGACAAGCTCAGTGTAATTGATTAATAAACTCTAATACTATGATATTATTATTCACATCTTATAAGTCAGCTTTATAAGATAAAGTAATGTTTTTAATTGATTTAAATCATCAGCTAATTTCTCTCAATACTCTTCAAATCTTATATTGAAATTGAAAGAATTCTTATTATTTTATTAATATAATAAGTTGAATCACTGCACTGCTATAAAGCTGCAGTTTCAGTGATCTTTGATCTGATTCAGTAGAAACTATTTGAATTCTTCTCAAGTTATAATAGTATTAATACACTTAAGCTCTCTCTTCTTAATAGCTCAAGTAGTTACAGAGATATCTTCAGTTAATCAGTGCTTCATCATAAACTTGCTCAATCTGTTGAATAAGAACCCGCCGATAGATTCATCAAAGAGCCCTTGATCATACAAGCATTTTGATCCCATCGCTGACTGCATACCCCATGTGGTGGTGGAGTTATCCAGCCAAACATGAACCAGATGTTGTTTGAAACTCCTGTGTGAGATTATCCCTCATTCACCCCTATCACATCACAACCCCGGGCCAAATTGCCATACAAATTGTAAGGCAAAGAGACCTAGCCATATGTGCCAATCTTCTTGATTTTAGAAGATCCCTGACCTGTAATTGTGGAGATATCTGAGAAGCAACTTCCACAAAAACCCTGTCTATCTTTGATGTTCCAAAGCATCAACACCAAGTCTCTCCCATGTACCGTTCTTCTCAATCTGGCCCACGTCCGGTAGAAAAATACAAAAAGATATCTCAGCAATAGTATCAAGCATATAATCAACAGACACATCTGAAGTGCATTCTCTGTGAAAAACCCTCTTTGTCTTTACATCAAGTTCTACCCTTGTACCGCCTCTTCTGATATGGCCCATTCCCAGCAGAAAAGTATAAAAAGATATCTCAGCAACTGTATTCAATATATAATCAGCAGACATAACAACTATAAAATCAGTATATCTCAAGATCTGACTGAGTCTTTGATCTCTGCTAGACTGACTGTGTGACTGTGTCTGATACCAGGACCATAATTTTTCATAGTCTCATTGTCAATTTGACAGATCTCATTACACAGTTCTAACATTAGATAGTAGTTTCATACTGTCTCAGTGAGACTTACTGTCTACTCTTATCACATTTTTCAAATGAGATCATGATCTTCACTTCTCAATTTAAATTATTTTTATTGCTTTAAATGACTTTAAATCTTATTTGAGTGTTACCAAAAAGTGTTACTTTTTAAAAAATTAAAAATAGTCTAAAAAAAATCTTAAAATGTCTAAAAATAGTAACTTTATATCAAGAATGAGACTAAATGAGATCAAATGAGACTACTTTCTCATTTTTTTCAAGTCATGATTTCATTTTGAGATGTGATATATAGTCACTTTGCATGTTTGTTTAATGATTAGTCCCAGCAGAATTCATGTCAAGAAATGTATGAGATCAGATTAAATGAAATTAAATGTGAAATTTATAGTCTCAGTAATCAGTCTAATCTCTGCGCAGTGAGATATATTAAATCTAGTTTTAATATCTCAATATTCAATAGATTCTGCAAGACATTGAGAACAGTAACACTAGATTTCTATTGAATTTGAGAATTAACTCTATATTGATATAATCATTGACAAAGTCTTCTATTTTAAGATATAAATAATCAGTTTCTCTACATTCTGCTGACAATATTTATATTATCATATAGAAACAGACTTATATTCTCTATAATATCAAGACTCTGAAGCCAGAAAGTCTTGATAGAGAGTATACAGTAGTACATATCTTAGTAGTTTCTATCTCATTCTTCTGCAGTAGTTAATGTAAAAAAAAAAAGATCTTAGAAATAGTTTTTTACTTCTCTTGAAAAAGTAAGATGTTTTTCTCTGAGTTTTATACAATATTCTTACAAAGAATTAAAAACAGAGCTGTTTTCTGTCATAATTTCATATTCTTTTAAGTAAGAATTACTTTTTCAGTGACTGAAGAGCTTTCATTAATACTTAATTCTTTTTTACACTCTCTATTAACTGATTTAAGTTGCACACTTGTTGTGTGAGAAGAATTGAATGATTTAGAATAAAATTGAATAGTTTTAATCAATTTCTCTGTAAAAAATTGATTTATTTTTTATCAGTTTTTCTATCAAAAACTGTCATATTATCTGATTTATTATCAATTGATATCATACTTTTTCTCACTGTATCTCAAGAAAGAGATTGTAAAGATTTTATTGATTTATCTCAAAAATTAATTTTAGTTTATTAGATTCTCTTTAAAAATCTAATCTAGTTACTGAACTAGTGTGAAAAAAATCAGATGTTTTATACATAAAAGTCTTTTATTCTTCTTTTGAAACAGTCTGACCAACTTTTCAATTGAAAACAGACTTAGAAATCTCTTAATTGAAACAGTCTGATCAACTTTTCAAAAGAGTTCAATACATATCTCAATTGAAACAGTCTGATCAACTTTTCATTGAGTGAGAATAATGAGTTCAAAAATACACTCAGTTGATGTGAAAAAAGATGCTTTCTCAAATGCTATTCCTGAGATTGAAATTCTGAAGAGAAGAAAGAAAGAAGAAATAGAGAAACAATAAGTTCTTGAAATACAGAAACTTGAAAAAGTAAGTAAGATTCTTGAAAAGCAGTGTCTGAGTGAGATGAATGAAGAAGTTCTGTTAATTCTTCATACTCAGGCTAGACAACTACAGAAGATGATCAAGTTCAAACTTGAAATTTCAAACACAGTTTAAAAAACATTGAAAATTCCTAGTATAATCACTGACTTCTTATCTTACTCTTCTTTCTCTTTTTCTACTTCTTCTTCTTCTTTGAAGCAGAAGAAAATATATGCTTAAATAGCTGAATCTACTGTCTCTAAATCTGCTATCTCAAAACCTGCTCAAAATTCTGAGAAAACTGAGAAGAATAATGCTCATACTTCTATTCATAGAAAAGTGAAGAAAGAAATACAAAAGAAGAAAAGCTTTCAAATCTTCAGAAATAGAAGACTTATTCTCAAAGTCTCAAATCAGAATATCTTACAAAGAAACAAGCTAAACTCAAATCTCATTTTCAGAATTAGAAATGAAATTAATCAGCAGTTCTTTTCTCAGTTAATAACTGATATTCAAGTTCAAAAATTAGTTATAGCTTCAATTGAGTCATTCTTCTTTGAAAACTTCATCATTCTGACTACAATGTCTGAATTCAGTGTGAAATCCCTTATTCAGAATGTGAATCTCTGAAAATCAGCAGTAGAATTATTGTTAAACACAACAATTCTATCTGAGAGAGATGAAAAGTGAGATAAATTCATTCTTTATAATATTTCAGTTGAAATCTTTAACTGTGAAGAAGGAATGCTACTTCTTAAAAATGAATTAGAAGAATACAACTCTATTCAATGAAGAAAAGAGTCTGTATAACTAAATTCAATTGAGTTCAGATAAAGCAGAAGAAATGCCTCTGTTCTAGTATATATAAAGACACTTAAACAGTCAAAGATCTCTGAAGTAAAAGTAGTAGATTTGAAAATGAGAGTTCATGAATACAAAGACTCAAGAATGAATCTCAAAGCTTAAACACAGTGTTTAAACTGTTAAAGATATAGATACTTTGTAATCTTCTGTTTTAGAGACTCAAAATGTGCATTCTGTGCCAGAGATTATAAAACTAGTGAGTATAAATGTGAAATATGCTTAAAAAGAGATGAAATATGTCAACACACTATACTTAAATGCTCTAATTATAAAGAAAAACATGCATCTAGCTCAAAGAAATGTATGTTTGCTTCAAGAACTCAAAAGAACTGAAGAAAAGATAAAGCTCAAAGCAAATCTAGAACTGAAGAGAATAGTCAAGTCAGTAAACTTATAACTGTAAGCTTAAAAAGAAGAAACTCTCAACTATCTAAATCTTCAAACTTTAATTCTTCAGCTAAATATAAACAGAATTTGAATTCTTAAACTTTTGTTAAGATTAGAGAATTGAGAAATGACTGTGATGATAAACTAGATATAATGCAAGCAGTTGAGATTTCTACTTTTCAGAATAGTTATAATCTACTATCTGATGATAGTGATTAGATTCTACTCTACTCTCATTTAGTATGAATATACAACAAAAATAACAAAAAAAGTTTAAAAACTCTTCAAAAATCATATTTATTTAAAATAATGTGAATAGAAACTCAAATTGCATTTATTCTTGTCTTCAAATTATATTTGAATAAAAAGTTGATTTTATACTGCTTCAGGAGCTGAATTTTGATACTGAGTAAAAATATGTTATTTCTCATTTAAGCTACTACTGCTTTCTATCTCAAAAGTCTGAGATAAAGT